TGCCCGTGCCAGGCAGCGCCGCAGGCAGGGAAGGGCTGCGGGACAGGCCGGGCAGAAGCTGGTGGGACAGGCCGGGCGGGAGACGGAGCGATGGGCAGGGAGGCCGCGGAGCCTGGCACGGACACATGCACGCACACGCACGCCCTGCGCGACGAAGGCAAATACCTCTGTCCTCCCCGGCTGCCGCCCGTCCTGCCTCGGCCACGCCGTGCCTCCTCCTCGCTGCCCGTGCTCCATGTGCCGCGCCGGGACGCGCTGCCAGAGCCTCCTCTCCGCCGCCGCTGGGCTTTGGCCCCCGCTGCCTGCTGGCGTTTTGGCAGCCTCGCCGCTCCAGCGATGGCATGTGTCCATTATTTTTTTTTTTTTTCTTCCTCTCTCCCTTTCACAATCCGTCCTCCCCAGCCTTCTCTGCCGGTGCCTCCGGAGCCGCCTGCGGTGCCAGCTCGCAGGGAAATTGGCAGCGAGCGCGGCACAGGGATCCTCCCGCAGCTGACGGAGCCCTGCCAGGCGCAGGCAGCCCTTCTGCCAGCCACCAGCCTTGGCACGGGGGGCCGGGGGCCGCGGGGGGCTGCCGGGGCTTGGCAGCCCTTCCCCGGCACCGCGCGCCCCAGCCGCCGCCACGGCTCCGCTGCCAAATGCCAAACGGGGGGAGGAAAAGGGGAGAAGGCAAAGAAAGGAGTTGGCTTCGCCGTGCCAAGTGGCGGAGACCCACCAGAGACCCCATCCCTTGGCCAAGGCCAGCTGGGCGATGTCCTGGTCCCTGGGCGCAGGCTCTGGAGCCCGTTCCTGGTTCGGGCGTGGCGTGCAGAGGCTCAGCCCCGTGTGCCCCAGGCTGTGCCCCCAGCCCGGGCGGGAAAGCCGTGGCAGGGCTGGCAAGCGCCGCCGCAGACCAGCGAGGCTGCGTGGCGAGGACGGCTCCCACAGACACACCTCTTACCCAGCATCCGTCTGCTGCACAGGGGGGCCCGGGAAATTGGGAAGGGGAGAGCGGAGGAGGGACTTGTGGTGATGGGTGGGGGTTTTGGGGTGCCCTCTGGCCGTGTGTCGCCTGGCACGGCCGTCTCAGCCTTGTGCAACAGAGCGTCCCCAACTCGTGCCAGAATCCTGGCCCCAGTGGTTCAGTCGTGCCATGACTCCATCCTGGTCAGCCATCAGCGTGGCAGCCAGCCCTGCTTTCCCAGCTTTTCTTCCCAAAGCTCCTGGTTTGGGTGTCTTTGAAGGTAGAAGTGGGTATGTGGCTTGTGCCTCCACTGTAGCGTGGGTGCTCCTGGTGCCAATGCCTTTAGAGGGCCCCTAAGGCCAAGGGAATGGGAATCGCCAGGCTGGAGACAGGGAACAGCTCCTGCTCAGTTCTCCCAAAATAAATCATTCACTGGGAGCCACGTTCACTGGGAGGCACAGGGGTGCTGGGGCAGGCACCAGGAGCACACAGAGAGCAGAGGCCATCCCTGCTTAACAGCTTTGCCCCTAATCAGGGATGTCCTTAATGAGTTGGCAGGAGGAGCCAGGAGCCCTCCATGGGCAGGATGGGGTGTGAGGGGGTCACACCAGCCCATCCCATCCTCCTGCCACGCTTCACCCGCTGTCCCTGGGTGGTGGCACATGCCAGGGCATGTGGCAGCTCCTGGGATGGCAGTGACGCCATCCTGGCGTGCCCCGTGCCCCCGTGGCCCGGCGGCTGTCCCCGGCCTGCCCGTGTCACACGTGCGCCTGCCATTTCCTCAAATAAGCAGCTAATCTCCATCAATCATAATTCCGGGCAATTATCATAATAGGGCCATTTTGCACTTATCCTCGCCACGTGACGCAGGAGCCACTTACGGCTCCACTTCACTCCGAGCTGCTCCTGTCCCCGGGGAGTCCCCATGGCAATCGTGTCCCCTGCAGGCCCCTGGGGACAGGGCCCGGTGTGGCAGTGCCTGCAGCAGCTCGGGGACACTGGTGCCAGGAGGGATGCAGGCAAGGGGCGATGTCTGAAACACCGAGGGAAAACAGAGGGAGACCCTGCCCTGCCACGGGAGCAGCAGCACAGGGTTAAACCCCGCCCTGGGGACACTCCATCTGCTTTCTGCCACCACAGGTGGCCCTGGCAGCCCGGCGGTGGTGCCGATGCCGCGTGGCTGTGGGGGGGACAGGGCCAGCAGCCCCTGGTGACCTTGGGCTGCCTGGCGGAGAGCAGCTTAGGGAGGCTGGGAAGTGGTGAGGCACCAGGGCCTCGGGTGGGGATTAGGGGCCAGCAGATGGATGGAGATCAAACATTTCACTGCCCCTTGTTTACAACACCCTCCAGGGCAGCCACGGGGACCCCGGCACTGCTCTGGCTCTGTCCCTCCTTGGGCTGGGGCAGGATGGGGACAGGGACACGCTTCCATGGGTTTGGGGTGTGCCAGTGGGATGGACAGGCTCCCACCTTGCTGTGCTGCATCCTCATTCCAAGCAGCACCACGGTGGAAGCTGCCAGTGCCCCCATCCCATCCCATCCCATCCCATCCCATCCCATCCCATCCCATCCCATCCCATCCCACCAGGATGAACTCACCATCACCCCGAGCATTCCCACAGCCCCACAGTGTTTGTGCTGTTTACACCACCCCAGTAATTACTTCCCTTTTTTTTTTTTCCCTTTAATAAATACGGATGTGCCACAAGTAAACTGCAGCGCAATAAAACCTTTCTGCTGGATCCATAATTAATCACCGAGCTGAGCAAGACGGGGAGGGCAGGCACAAATCCCTCCTGCCGGGGCGGGCTGCGGGCTCACACCCGGCTGGGAGGGACCCGAGCAGCCGCGGTGGCAGCTCGGGGACAGCGCGGTGCCCTGGGGACCGTGCCAGCAGCCGGGGGTGGGCAGGGCTGTGCTGCACGCGGGTGTCGCTTCCACTCCCAGCTGTGAGGGCACATCTGGACGGAGCCCATCCCGGCCAGGCGGGGAGCAGCCCCTGCCCTCCCTCCCTGCGGTCCCCGGGAGAGCCCCGGGCCGGACGGCGGTGCCCGGGGCTCGGCATCGTCTCCGGGGATGCGGCCGGCTCCAGATGGCCGGTGGCACCAGGTGCCGGGCCGGAGCGGCAGAGGGTGGCTGGGGGTGACATCTGCTGTGTGTGACATCCCGGCCAGCTGGCCCCGCCGCCTGCCAGCGCCGGCGGGAGCACGGCCCTGTCACCCCCGCAGGAGGGGTCCCGGCTGGAGGGGCCGCTCCTGGCTCGTCCTTGGATGTCCCGGCTCTGTCCCCACCCCGTGCACGCTGTCCCTGCCGGTCCCTGCCCCACCACGGGGGTGTTGGCACCAGAGACCCCCCCATGGGCACGCACCAAGGGAGGGGGCTCATCCCTGCGGGGCACCGGGAGGCTGGTGACACACGGGGACTGTGGGGAGTGACACTGGTGGTGGCAGGGCCGGGCTGGGTGCTGGGCACACCTGCAGGGAGGTGGCACTCGCTGGCACTGGGACCAACCCGGAGCTGCTGGGAGTGTTGGGAGCCTCCTGCAGCAGCCCTGCATGGGGCAGGGGGTGATGGGGGTGTGAATGGGGATGGAGAACTGGGGAAGGGCTGTGGCATGGGAGAACTGGGGAAGGGCTGTGGAGTGGAGAAGCGTGCAGTGGGGAGGGAATGGGGACAGGGCCATGCCATGGGGACAGAGCTGTGCCACAGCTGAAGGACACAGAGGATGTGTGCCACGGGGACACTGGAGATGGGGATGCAGTGGGAGGGAGTTGTGCCCTGGGGAGGGAGGAGTGTGATGAGGAGCTGTGGGCTGCTGAGGGGGAGGGGAGGGAGGGGAGCGATGGCCGTGGTGCAGAGGGGAGGAGGGGAAAGGGCAGGTATGAGATGGGGATGGAGGTTGTGAACAGGGAGCCATGGAATGAGGAGGGAACCCTGAGAAACAGGGAGGGAGCTGGGCAAGGGCTGTGCGAGGGGAACTGTGCAACGGAGCTGTGCCGTGGGGAGATGTGCCAGGGAGAGATGTGCCATGAGCAGGGAGCCAGGCCGTGAAGAGCTGAGCCCTGCCACGAGCAGGGAGCCGTGCAGGAGCGTTGGGTGCTCTCCCCAGCGCTGGGATCCCGGCCCCGTTTCCGCTCCCAGCCCCAGCCCCGGTGGAAACACACCTGGGGGTGGGCGGGGGTCAGCCCGGCCGTGCCGCTTCACGGCCCCTGGGCACAGCCAGAGCAGCTCGGCTCTGGTGGGGCATGTGCTGTGTGCCGTGTGCCCTGTGATGTGTGCCATGTGCCGTGTGCCCTGTGCCCTGTGATGTGTGCCATGTGCCCTGTGCCCTCTGCCTTGTGCTGTGTGCCCTGTGCCATGTGCTGTGTGCCCTGTGCCGTGTGCTGTGTGCCATGTGCTGTGTGCCCTGTGCTGTGTGCTGTGTGCCCTGTGCCGTATGCTGTGTGCCCTGTGCCATGTGCTGTGTGCCCTGTGCTGTGTGCTGTGTGCTGTGTGCCCTGTGCTGTGTGCCCTGTGCCATGTGCTGTGTGCCCTGTGCTGTGTGCTGTGTGCTGTGTGCCCTGTGCTGTGTGCCCTGTGCCCTGTGATGTGTGCCCTGTGCCCTGTGCCCTGTGCTGTGTGCCCTGTGCCATGTGCCATGTGCTGTGTGCCCTGTGCCCTGTGCCCTGTGCCGTCTGTCCTGTGCCATGTGCCCTGTGCCACCGCGGGACCTCTGTGTGACCTCACATGGCTGTGTGTCCCTGGGATGGCTGTGTGTCCCCACGGTGTCTGTGCGTCTCTGGGATCTCTGTGCCCCGCTGGGATGCCCATGTGTGAATGTTCCCCGAGTCCAGGCCATGCCTGCCCCTTGCCCAAATCCCAAATCCCCCAGACGAGGCCCATGGCCCCGGGACCCGCAGGGCAGAGCTGGAGCTCCATGACACCACACCCGCCCGCCATGACATCCGAGGACAGCGGTGACACTCCGGGGGGCTGCAGGCACACTCAGCCCCGCGGAGCCCCGGCCCCGTCCCCCGTGGGCGTTTTGGGGCCAAATCCCCGCAAATCAGGCGCGGCGTGCCGGAACATTAGTGCGCGGAACGTTCGAGTCGCGGCGCCGCGCTCCCGCCGGAGCTGTTCGCGGCCGGACCGGTCCCCCGGCGGCAGGTGAGGCCCCGCGGGGCTGCGGGAGGCGGTGGGGCCGGGGCGGCCCCGGGACGGCCCCGGGATGTCCCAAAGCCGGGGCCAGCCGAGGCTTGCTGCCCTCGGCCCGCTGCGCTCGGAGCGGCCCTCCTTCCCCGCGGGAGCCGCTGGCTGCGGGGCCTGCGGCGGGGCCGGCCCCGGTACCGCACCGGGAGGCTCGGCGCCGTTCTTGCCTTCCCTGCTCCGGGATGTGCCGTGAGTAGGCCGCGGGCAGAGAGCTGCAGGGAGGGAATGCGCTCCGGTGTGAGCAGAATAAAGCCCTGTGAGGGCGGGCAGGCCCTGGCACAGGTGCCCCTGGATCCCTGGCAGTGCCCAAGGCCAGGCTGGACAGGGCTGGGAGCACCTGGGACAGTGGGAGGTGGGACTGGATGGGCTTTAAAGTCCCTTCCAATCCAAACCTTTCCCCGTTTTTTGCTTTGTGAGAAGGGAAGAACAGTCAGCATCTCAGGCGTTATTTGATGCCTTTTCTATTCTCTTAGTTACTTTATGATTTTCTGATAAAGTATTTTAGTGATTTTCTAGGAATGTAGTATTTTTATCTCTATTGTGGAAACAGCCAGGAATCCCTTTGTGTTCCCATGCCTGTAAATGGGGAAAGGCTGGAATCCTGCAGGTCAGGCTCACCCTGGCAGCTACACTGTCACAGGTGGAGCCATGATTCTTCCTGTAATAACTCACTTTGGAACAGCTCAGAGTAACTCCAAGGATCATTTTACTCCATTTTATGTGTTTTGTGCTCAGAAAGTGCAGAGGGAGATGCACAAGGTGTCCAGAGCTGTGCAGTGGGTCAGCTCCCAGTTTGCACTGGTTTTGTTGTGCTGGGAGCTGGGGAGAGCCCTCCAGCTGCTTTGAGATCTTCAGCCTTAGGAGGAGGAGGAGGAGGAGGGCTTGGATTTTCCCTTCCAGGGGGATTTGAACCTTCCCTTCCAAGGCAGCAGAGCCACATCTCTGCCCTGCCCTCACCTTCCCCTGGGATCCAGGGACAAACTTTGTTTCCAGGTGTGCCGTGCTGGAGTTTGTGGCACCAGTGATCCCTGAGCAGCAGCAGGGGATGGCAGACAGCCCCTGGATTTACCCCACGTGTCTGCAGCCTGGCCTGGCTGGAGGTGCTGCTTGAATTGCTCCATTAAACACAGACTGCTGGGAACGGGCTAATTTCATTTTTGGAAGGAGCTGGAGGAACAGTGAGAGCACTGAGAGCATCAGCCACGCTGGTCCTGGCAAAAGCAGCTCCCAGTTGGTGCCCCTCATCATGCTGAGGGCATTGACACCTTGCCATGGCCACAGGTTCAGTTCAGGGTGTGAATTAGGTCGGGTTTTTGCATTTCAGGCTCTCCAGAGCAATGCAAAGATGTCACACGAGCTCTGCCTTGAGCCGCTTTGTTTTTTTCCATGCTGGTGGCAAATGTCAGGAGTTCCCACGCTCAGCCTGCTCTGGGGCTGCAGCCTCTCTGCTCCCCCAGATGTTTCCACCCCAAATCACCAGCTTGTTTTGCAGAAGCAGAAATTGAGGTTGATTTGCAAAAGAAAACCTGAGCAGGGCCAGTGTCTGGGTGGGGAAATGCTCCGAAGGTGGAGGGGAGAGACCGCAGGGCTGACGGAAAATAAACTTGCGCAGCCTGAGCTGGGGCAGCCCTGACAGCTCTGCCCTGGGGAGCTGCTGGGCTGGTTCCCCTTTGTTCCAGCTCCTCCCCACACTGGGAAGCTGGGCTGGGAGGCTCTTGGAGCTGAGCTGCTCCACTAATAGGCATTTATCAAAAAAAAAAAAAATGGAAAAGTCAGGTTGTTATTGCCGGCGTCAGGGAGGTGTCACGGACGCTCGCGGAGAGTGAGAGCTTGTCATCCTTTGGCTGCTTCCTCTTGTCATGGAACCTCTCTGGGGATGTTTTGGTGCTGATTGGATTCTGTGCAGCAAATCCCTCTCTCTGCTGCCACAGCCCTGTGCTCTCCTCTCTGCTCTCTGTTGCTGTGTGGGCAGGGTGCTCCAGGCTGCGCAGAGGGTTTAGGATTCTTCACGGAATCGTGGAATGGCTTGGTTTGGAAAGGACCTTAAAGCCCATCTCATTTCACCCCCTGCCTGCCAGCAGCCTGGGACACTGGAAGGTGTCAGGGGGTGGAACTGGGTGGGCTCTGAGGTCCCTTCCAACCCAAACCATTCTGGGATTCTGTGAAAGCTGGTTTATCATTTAAACTAGCTGGATTTCAAGGGCTGTGCCTCCTGTTCCATCGTGGCAGGACCCGGGGATGCTCAGGCTGCCCAGGATGTGGCACTCTGAGGCAGGGACATAAATAATACAGTGGATATTATTCAAATGAGGGCTGCCACTTTGCCTGGGTGGGAATAACCCCCTGGGTAATCCCTGCCTCTGCTGATCTGCCATCATTGCTTCCTGCAGAGTCTCTCCAGCCCGGCCGTGCTGGCAGGATGCTGCTCCCCCTGCTCTTCCCCCAGCTGTGCCGGCCCCTCCGCTGCCTCCTGCGGGACCTGTCCCGCTGCACACGGGACGGGAGGAGGGCTGGCTGTCCCCACAGGGCTCTGCACACAGCCTGGGCCACCTGCAGCAGCGACATCACCCCTGTGTTCACCAGGGCCCTGGCTTTTGGGGACAAAGTGGCCATCGTTGACCAGAACGGGGAGCACACGTACAGGGAGCTGCTGAGCCGGAGCCTCCGCCTGTCCCAGGAGATCTGCAGGCTCCTGCAGTGCCCCAGCAGGGACCTGAAGGAAGAGAGGATCTCGTTTCTGTGCCCCAACGATGCCTCCTACGTGGTGGCCCAGTGGGCTTCGTGGATGAGCGGGGCCATAGCGGTGCCCCTGTACAGGAAGCACGCGCTGCCCGAGCTGGAGTACGTGATCCAGGACTCCCAGAGCGCCCTGCTCATCGCCGCCGACGAGCTCCTGGGCAAAATAACCCCCAGTGCCCAGAAACTGGGGGTCCCTGTGCTGCCACTCCCCAGGCCTGGTGGTGGTGGTGCATCCACGAGCCCTGCGGCCACGGAGGAGGGGCCCTTGCCAAGCTGTTCCTCGTGGAAGGACAGAGGAGCCATGATCATCTACACCAGCGGGACCACGGGGAGGCCCAAGGGTGTCCTCAGCACCCACGAGAACGTGCAGGCTGTGGTGAGTGAGTGCTGCTGCCCCCCCTGCCAGGCTTGTGCCAGGCTACAAAGTCTTGGGATCTGGAGGGGATTTGGGCTTGCAAACACCTTTGCACTGCCAAATTGCTGCTGAGAGCTGTGGGGCAGCAGCTCTGGAATCCTCCACGCTTGGAAGGTGAGCACACAGCGGCGTGTGAGGCTCTCAGCCTTGGCCTGTTCGTGCTGCAGCTGCATCCTGAGGCAGTTGGATTCTCCTCCCTGCTTTCCTGGAAAGCAGAATGGATGAAACCTGTTGTAAAAAACCTGATTTCTTTGCAGTTTGCTTTTCTGCCTTCTGACTAGGGGAGAATCTTTGCTCCTAATTGGAAAATAGCTTAGCCCAGCCCAGTGCTGTGTGAAGCCTGTGCATTATTCAGCTCTGTATCCCCAAGGCAAAAAAAATCCATTAGCTCTCAGAGCCAAAAGGAATTAAAAGTTTGAATAAGCCTGCTGACTGCCTCACCACTTGGTTATCAGTGCCTGCAACTGCCAGACTGCTGCCATTAGGGAAGGAGGGCAGGGAATGCAGGGGTGCCTCGAGAGCTGCTCGGGGTGCTCGGGTCCTGCAGAGTCCCAACAGGAATGAAAGCCTTGATGGATGGAGCCAGGGCTTGGCTATATTGGGCAAAGAATCTGTTCCCTCACAAACATGCTGATTATTTGGGGGGTGGCCTGAGCAGTCCCCATCCTTTGTGCTGTTCTGCAGGAAGCCTAAAAGATGCTTGCTGTCCTGTGGAAGAGGGTTGTGAGAGACACGACCAAATTCCACTGCTCAGATGCTTTTCTTATTTTTAGGTGGCTGGAAATAACCTTTGCAGTTGCCAGCACTGGGCTCTGAAGGGCATTGTTGACCCAGAAACCTGATAATTATCCCTTCAGATAATTATCCCTTCAGAGCAGAGTGTTTTGGAAGCTTGGTGCTCTCATAATTTTTACTAACATGAAACCTGCTTTCTGTTTATCAGCAATTTCCTGCTCCTACTGATTATCCCTTACAGGTGCTAAAAGCCTGATGTCATCAGTGTCCTAACTATGGCAACAGAATTCTGGGAAAATTAGCTTTTTGATTACTATTTCTGCCAAATCTGCATGTGCAGCAGTAGATTAATATTTTTGTATGTCCTACTTAAAATCATTGTTGATACTTCTCAGTAACGAGGAAGGGCTTTGCTGATTTTAAGACACATCCTGGCAGGATGCTGAAGGTGTTCCTCTTGTGTTCTGTTCTGTTGTGGTGAGAATTTTTCTCCTGCTGATCCTGAAGGGAAGATTTTTGTGCCCAGGCAGGCCTGGCATTCTTGCCAAGGAATTTAGGGCTTGAATACCTCAGGGATACCTCGGGAAAATCTTCCCTCCTGCCCTAAGGCCACGCTGTTTGTTTTCCTCTGCAGACCACGGGGCTGGTTGAGAAGTGGGAGTGGAAGAAGGAGGATGTGATCCTGCACGTGCTGCCTCTGCACCACGTCCACGGGGTGATCAACAAGCTGCTGTGCCCGCTGTGGGTGGGAGCCACGTGCGTCATGTTCCCGGAATTCAGCGCGCACGCGGTGAGCCCAGGGGAGACCCAGCAGCAGCACCCGGGCAGCGTGCTCACAGCAGCTCTGGGAATGAGTTCCTAAGGAATTCCAGCCCCTTTAGGCACTGGCTGTGGGTGGTTCACTGCAAAGGGACTTGGTTGGGTGCTCAGCCCCGGGGTATGTGTGCTCTTCCAGAGGGAGCAGCTCGTGTAAGCGTGGTGTTGGAATGGGAATGCTGCACTGCCCCTCCCAGCCCTGGGCTGGGGTCTGCCTGGGGGTGGGTGGACCCTGCTGTGCCCACTGAGAGTGTTTCCATCCAGAACTGAGGTTGTGGATTTTTTTTTGCTGCTAGGAATGGTGGAAATACTGTTTTTCTTCTGTGTTAGTGGTGTGCTGCTTGCTGAATTCTTCAGTGACTTGCATTTCTCAGAATCCCCAAAATACTGAGGCTGGAAAAGACCTCCAAGGTCACCAAGTCCACCCTGTGTTCTATCCCCGCTTTGTCACCCAGCCCACAGCACTGAGTGCCAGGTCCTGTCATTCCTTGGACATCTCCAGGGATAGGGGCTCCACCACCTCTCTGGGCAGCCCCTTCCAGTCCTACATCCTTAGTGTTTTGTATTGCACTACATGATAGAACACAGCCTTTGGAGTTTTTTGCAGCCCAGGTAAAGGAAGCCTGTTTTTCCTCACTTACATGAAAAGATGGCTCTTCCTCTGTGGAGAAACAAGAGTTAAAAGAGCTGTCAGGTTGGACTCAGTGATGTGAGAGAGGGTTTCCAGATCCAGACTTTCTTGCAGCTTTTAGGAAAAGTGGCAGGAGGGAAACCTTACTGGAATGATGCTGTTAAAATGTTGTTTCCTATCTGAGCCAGGAAACACCAGTGCCAGTGTTCTGCTTCTCCTTTGTTCCCTGCGGCAGTGGCACACCACGGGGAGAGGGGAAGGGATAGGCAGCAGTAAAGGTGGAACAGCTTCTACATTTCCCAGCCCCTAGGATGGAGAACTGTCCATCCACATCTCCCAGTGTCCTGGGTGGTGTCTGCAGTGTCACTGTTAAGGGACAGTTGGGTTTTCAGGTGCTGCTGCTGCTCAGAGCAGAAAGGAAACAGAGGTGTGTTGTCACTGCAGAGCTCCCTGGGAAAGCCAGAGGAGCCTGTGCTGGGTAACTGCCCAGGCTGCTCTCCCTGGCTGTGCTTACCCACGTGCTGGGAAGGCTTGTCCCATGGGAAGGACAAAGTGCACAGGTGTGGGATACACCTGGGAGCTCTGGCTGTGCTGCTGCCAGGTGAGGGCGGGCCCAGCTCTGACCGGAGCGACCTCAGGGTTGCGTGATTCTTCATGGCTCATTTCTGCTTCTCAAAGCAGCAGCCACAGAAAATGCACACTTCCCTTTTGTGTCGGGGGGCTGTGATACCTGAGCACTGATCCTTTTTGGGGGGACAGCCCCGGAATCTCAGCGGGGCAGCTCTGAATTTCCAGAGTAAATAGGTAGGATGCTGTGGTAGAAAGCAGGAAGGCCCCTGGCTGCCACAGCTTGTGCTTTCACCCCAATGATTGGTGCCAAATTGTCCTCCCCGCCGTTAGGGTGACCCCAGAGGCTCGGGGTGCAGCAGGGCTGTGCCGGAGCGGCGCTGGAGGTGCCGCTGAGAGGCTGGAGCGGAGCCTCTGGAGGGCGCGGTGCTCCACGTCCTGCGCCACCGGTGATTGATGCTCCCTCGCACCCTTGCGTTCTCCTCTGCTCTCTGCCCACATCTGCGAATCAATGAGCTGACGTTGAGGGATGGGATGGGGATCGGGGGAGCGGGACCCCCCTGCTGCCTGCTCTGCTCAAAGCTCTCCCCAGATGTGACACCGGGGACAGCGCCGGGAGCGGCCGCTTGACCCCGGAGCTGAACCTGGGCGCGGAGGGCGCCAGGCGGGGCTCTGGGGTGCGCGGGGGTCTGGAGGACGGCGTTTCCTTCTCTGCTTTCTTTTATTCCCGTTATTTTTCCGAGGGCCTCCCGTGGGAGCTGCAAGTGGTTTGATCGACACTCCAAAGCGAGCACGGGAGGGTAAATAAGGCTTTCTCCTGGAGTTTATTGCAAGCTGCCTTTCAGTTCCACTCTATTTTCACCAGCTGTTTACAAAGTGCCCTTTGCTACTGCAATCAGCTTGCAGCAAAGCAGCAGTGGAGGATTTTGCCAAAGGAGCCCGAGTTTTGCTGTGTGCTTTTTTTCCTTGGCTGCACCTTGAGAAAGCAGCCAATTATAGTGTGATATAAAGAAACTCGACTGGCAGCTAAAACACTTGACAGGCTGATCAAAACAAGGCGAGGAACTTACTCCCAACCTGCTGCAGACATATTTAGCCTTGAGTGATACTGGCAAAGGTTCAAGAGAAACCGCAGCAGCACGCCCGATGTGTGTTTGGTTTCTAATCACTAACACTTCATTATACAAAATAAATACTTTATTATTACAGTGTTTATTAAATTACATAATTTGCGGCGTGCCTTATAGTCGTGGATACAGATGGCAGTCTGGTTTTGGTGGTGGGAATAATGCTCTTTTTTTTTTTTTTTTTTTTTTTTTTTTTTTTTTTCCTGTGAGAAGACATTCCCAGCCCCAGACCACAGCTTGCTTGTCGTTCCCCGCCGTGCAGGGGTAGGAGGTGGCAGCTTTCAGACCTTTACGTCTGTTTTTGGGAGCTGTCCAAGGAAAGGTTAAAAATCAGGACTGTGGAGTAGCCCTGGTGTCCTGACCAACATCCTGCTTCTCACTAAAACAGCATCTGATGTCTGTGGCTACTGCTGAGGCCACGACAACTCATTAAAGTGTGCTGAGGTGCCTCAAGCGTGAAAGTTGCTGCATAAAATCAGATTCTTTTTATTAAATGAGGACATCCATTACGCTGCACTAGCTACTGTACATGTTATAATTCACTTTATAGCACCATCTGTTAAGACTGTCTTGCTTAAGCTTTTTGTAGCATTTTTTTATTGCAAGTTATTAAAAAATATGGCTGCATCTATTAATCATTTATTAATAAAGGGGTTATAAATGGACCCTTAGTTTCCAGAATTAGTCGACTCGTACGTGATGTACTGAGTGCTCTGGTGCTCGTGCTCCTTGGGGTGCAGTGTCTCCACTGGGAGCCCCTGGGAGCACATCCAGTGCTCCTGTCTGTGCTTCTGGGCTTGGGAATGGCAGGGATGGCTGAGGGAGACTTCAGCACAGGTGGGTGGGGAGCAGGCAGGAGAGCAGCAGCGAGGCCGAGGGATGTTCTGCCAGCAGCTGCGTGGGGCATGGCTGGCTGTGATGTTACTGGTTTGTTGTTTCACTGGTTTTCAAGGGTGAGAAGTATGAGGGCAGAAACCTCCTCTGGAGCCAGAGCAAGCTGCAGCCTCAGCATCCCTGTGTGATCCTCCCTCCATATCCTGCTCCCAGGCTGGCTGAGTTTACTCTTCCAGCTGCACTGTTCCTGTTTGTGTTTCTCAGCTGCTGCTGACCTGTCCCAGATGCTGCAGTAGGAATTTCTTGTCCAGGAGTAGGGATTTTAAAGGTGCTGCGTTTGTACAAATTTTGTGCACTTTGATGACAGAGGTGAAGAGGTGAATGTCTGTTAAGGAAGGAGTGCAGGGTGAGCCTTCTCCTCCTGGCCAAGTGCTTTTGGAAGGCTTTGAGCATCAGGGCTTGCACCAAGCACCCTCTGGAGCATCCATTCCCAGTCACTGCCTCCCTCCATCTCCCTCCCTGCATCAGTTCAGGCACAGCTTGTGGTGGGACTGTTGCTTCATGGAAATGTCAGTGAGTCTGGAGAGACAGGCCTGGGGAAGCCAAATGTCCCCTGTGCTTGCTGTGACAGTCACACACTGGTGTCCCCATTCCAGACCAGGCACTGCTTGGACAGGACCATTTTGGGGCAAGTGGTGAGGTCACTGTCTGGTTTACAGGATTCTCTGCTGTGGTTTTTGGACAGAGAGGATGCATTTTGGGCTTGAACAACAGGAAGAGCTTGTCTTCGCCTTGGATACCCCTGATCTTGCCTTGAGGGGAAGATGTTCTAATGGCAAAAGGTTCCCTGTCAGCTCTCTGCATTGATAAACACAAGAGCAGATCCTGGGAGTCTTCCAGCCTCTTGTGCAGAGTGGGAAATAAGAGTACTGAAGAACCTGAAGGAAGAAGCTTGCTGTGCTGAGTGATGGGAGAAGCTGATGGAAATCTCCACTCCGGGTGACCCAGTTGTGGCGTGTGCTGCCCGCTCGGCTCTGCTGGGCAGGTTTGAGCTGTGATGTGCTGCCTGTGCACTGACAGCCCTGGCTGTGCCCTGCAACCCCTTCCATGATAAATATGCCAAGATGCAGATTTCCTGCCCTGCAGTTCCAGGAGCTGCTGTTCCAGTGCCAGTCTTGCTGTGTGTCTGACTTAAGGTGCTCCGAGGATCAAGCCCTCTAAAAACCATGCCCTGTTTTACAATGTCACACTCAAAGCATCAAAATAATCGTGTTTGGACCCTTCTTTCTAGGGAAATAGGAATGCTGTGTGCCCAAAGGTGGTGTGTGATTCAGAACAAGCTTTTCCTGGTGTTCTGTCCCCCGTGGCACCTTTTCCCTGTGATAGGAGGGAGCCGCAGACCTGGCGCAGGATGAGTGGGAGGTGTTGCTCCAGGGTGCTGCTGCATCATGTGCTCACAGCCCTGAATTCCTCAAGGCCAGGGCTGTACCTGGGAGCAAACTTTGTCCTTGTCACTGGTGTTGTCTGTGTGAGCCAGGCTGGGCTGGGTGCTGGGGCTGTCTACCTTGGCTGGGCTGCACAGGGAGATCCAGGGCTCAGCAGTCGCTGTTGCCTCCGGGAAGGAGAAGCGTGCACTGCGCTGAGCCTCTCCCCTGGATCTGTCACTTCTGCAAACATCACTCTGGGCAGCTCTTTTGGTTTATTTTTAAAAGAAAAGCAAATCCAAGCAGAGGAGCCTGAGCTCCAATATCCAGGCACGCTGGGGATCGCGGCCCCCATCCAGTTTCAGCTGGAGAGAGGCTGAAAGTCTTTTCATCTGTTAATGGGAGGCTTCAGAGGAGTAATTTTATTTCAGACTCAAAGAGGAGTCGGTGGAGGGAGGAGCAGGTCACTAGTGAATGGATTATGTTTGATCACTTCTCACAGACCTGGCTTTAAAAAGTTAGAGGTTTTCTTTCCCATCTCCCCAGATCTGCCGTCTGTCCTCAGCATCTGTTCCCAAGTAATGGCTTTTGATGTGTGTGGGGAAATATAAAAAATGGAACCAGAGCCTGTCATATTTACTTATATTTCCAGGTCCCAGGGAAAGCACTTGCTCCTTTCAGTATGCCTCCAGCATAGGAAGGGTTTAAAAGCTTCAGCCTGGAATGCAGAGGGGCCATCAAACTGTGCTGATGAATAAATGATTAAAACCAGTCGCACAGAGCGCAAACAGTTTGGGGTTACAACAAACATGAGACGAAGCCACCGAGGGCCTGATTTCTCTTTGAAGAGAAGAATGTTTCTCTCTCTCTGCATATTGGTCGTGAAGTGTTGGAGGCTCAGTCCCTGGGAGAGAGCAGAGCTCCCCTTGGTGCTCTCCTGTCTTATGTGATAAGATCCATAAGATCTCCGTCTGCTTTTTTGAGATAATTTGGTGTTGGATGTGTGTGCAGGGTCCTGCAGTCCCTTGGCTGCTGCTGTTGAGTTGCAGGAGCTTCCCACCCTTGTGTTTGGCACAGGATCTCACCAAACAAGCAGCTGCTTTGGCCACAGCCCTGTTGCTTCCACAGACATTCCAAAAATCACCGGCATCCCTTTTCCTCGATGGTGCTTCGCACATGGCAGCAGTCAGTGTTAAACACAGACTCATCTCCCCCAGCAAGAGGGAAGTAAAGGGCTGAGTTAACCTTGCATTAGAGGCATTGTTATTTTTGAAAAGGTTTGAAAAGATTCAATTACAACTGAAAATGGCACAATAATTTTATAGAAGAGAGGAGCTGTTGTGTCTGTCAATAGAGGCTGCACCGCAGGCTGGCTGTGATCCGTTTGTGGGCTGATGGAAAAATCCATGCTGATATTTGCTTCCTTTACAGCTTGTAGTTCTTCTGACTGGTTTTGAGAATCTTCTATCAGGCAAAATCTTATGTGGTTTAGCACATAACTGGGTTTGCCACTGTTTCTTCTCCTTTTGCATGAGAAAATGCCCAGGTATTGGATTTGGTGTTTCTGGCTGGTTTGGGGCACTGCACATTTCCCCTCTCTAAAGGGAAATGTTGTTGCTTTTTCTCCTCTGTGCTCACATCTCTTCCTTCAGGTGATCTTAGTGGGTCTGAAGGCTGGTTGGGAAGGTTGCTCTATGGGCTGACCATCCCCACTCACCATCTGCGTGCTGGGAAAAATACGTGGGAAAAATCTCCCAGCTGTGCCTTGCTGTGCTTGTTTTGTACCCACTGGTGTCATTTTCTCCTTTTTTTTTCCCTTTAATGATGGCAAAATCCCACTGGCCAGCTCATGATATGCTTTTGAGCAGTGGGAGGGGAGGAAAATCAGGAATGTCACGCTGACAGGAAGGCTCTTGGGAACATTAGGTCTCCCACTTCTCTGCTGGCACAGGCAGCCCTGACCCGAAGCATTTGCTGCCATTATTGCTGGTGGGAAGTTCTAGCCACTCTTGCTTTCTTGCAGTGAGAAACTTTTTGTTTCTAACCCTTGGTTATTTTAAAAGGAATCTTGATCCATCCCTGAGCATATTCCATGGGAAGGCTGCTGCTGCCCTTCTTTGCAGAGCCTGGCAGCCCTGGCACGCAGTGCCATGTTTGCTTCTGGAATCCATGGCTTTTTAAAAGCACTTGGAGGTATCAGGTGAGCAAAACAAAACAGAAGGCTGGGCTGCCAGTGCCCTGTGCACGGGGAATTAACGTGGTGACAGTGACAGTGGGATTAGCCAGGGGATGGACGGTGCTGCTCCAGGCCCGGCGCTGTCGGAGGGTGCCGGGTGCTGCAAGGACAAAGCTGGCGCCTTGCACGGGATTGATTGATTAGTGCCAGGTAACGAGGCTTTCCCAGATCCTTCTCTCAAAGCGTGCAGTTACAATTAGAAGCCAGGAATAGCTGTTCCAGCTGGCTGGGCAGTGCCAAGCCCTCCGGCCAGCTTGGGCTGTGTGGAGCACTCGGAGCTGCCAGCTTTGTACCACGGCTTAGTCCTGCTAAAACACATGGGAAGGATCCAGATTTGGCTGAGCAGGAGCAGAGCAGGTGGAGAGGTTTGGCTGTCAGCAGATCACCCCAGCAGCTGGTGGCACAAATCCAAAGGCAGCTGCTTATCCTCAGGAAGGGGCTGTTGCTGGGTGAGCTGGGCTGACACGGAAAAGCTGCTCCTGTGGTTGCAGTGCAGGAGGGAGGATTTTGTCTAAGGCAGGAGTTGAGCAGGCACATGGGGACAGGGGATTCTGGGGTGCAAGGGAGACTTGCTCTGTTTAGATGGGTTTGGGGTTTCTCAGATCCAAAGTCACGTGACAAAAACTCTGCTGAATGGCCAGACTGGAAGTCTGCCTGCAGTCCCACAGCTGCTCGGGACTTGGGAAGGCAAAACAAAATCACACAGCCAGGATTGAACAACCTCTGAGCATCTGTTTCCCTTCAATCCCCTCGGCACTGTCCTGGTCCCTGCTTGCCATCACACGTCCCTCCCTGCCCACAGCAATGGCTCTGGGGAGCACCAGGCTGAGGAGAGCAGATCCATCCAGCCCTGGCTTTGGAGAGGTCCTTCTCCACCCTGCTGCCTAGAATGGGAAAGATACTGGGGAAAAAGGGGGCTAGGAAATGATGCCTTGGGTTTTAGCTTTTATGTTTTTCAGGTTCTTTGCTGCATGGTAGGTAACTCTGAAACTTCATATTAGGTTTAATAGGTTTTCTTCACAGGGTAGTTGGACAAAACAATCCCTTCCCAGCTGGACAATTAAGGACAACCTTTCCCAAAAAGCACAAACAACAGTGAAGGGAAGGGGGCAAGCCAGGGGGCTGAGACTTCATGACCTGGAGCTGTAATTGGACAATTGAACCCAATATGTAGATGAACCAAAACTTACAAAAGTGTAAAAACTTGTGATTGGGATGAATCTTGGATTCAACCTGGCTATAGCCCTGGCCAGGCTCTTGTGCTGCCCAAGGTGTGTCCTTTTAAGGCCTTCCAGTAAATACCTATTGTGTCCATTTAGCTCTGTCTGGTCTCTGTTCCAGATCAGCCTCTCAAGACATCAGTTCAAACACGGGGGAGGTTAGACCCCTGTAAATGCAATTTTACCTAATCTGGCTGGTAGGGACCTTGCTGGTAGGTGGGTTTCTGCAGGGTCTGAAATGTTCCTTCTCTGGACATAGCACCCATCAGTGCAGGAAGTCACATCCCAGTTCTGCTTTCCTTTCCCAGGGCATCTTGCAGTGCTCGTGTCCCACCTGCCGGGGCGTGCAGTGGCTTTGCACCTTGTGCATTCATCTCTCCCCAGCGAGGGCCGTGCCTGGGCTGGGAGACAGGACAGTGCCTCTGTGTCCTGCTCTGTTAGCCACAACCACCCGGTGCTGGGAGGGTTTTTTTAGGAGCTGATTGTTCTGGAGCAGCGGAGTGCGAGATGCGGGGGGAGGCGGCGCCGGCGCAGCCAAGGAGAAAGGGATGAAACGGAGCCGAGCGAGCAGAACGGAGGGAAGGGGCAGAGTGACAGCATGAAGGAGAATCCCTGGCTCACCTTCAATCAATCCCTGCCTGGCCTCGCTCGTGTGCAGCTGAGCGTGCGCGGGGAGCGCCGAGGCAGCGCTGGGTGTCAGGAGCTGTTAGGGAACACATTTGTCACCGGCGGGGCAGGGAGCGCAGCGCGGGGACAGAGGCGCCGTCAGGGGTTCTGAGTTATTGATGGCTTTGCCTCGCTCCTGCCTTGGGAAGAGCCCACCTGGCAAGGGAGGGTGCTGAGGTGTGGGAGGAATGGGCTCAGGTGTGACGGTTGTGCCTCTGGGCCGTGGTTGGCTGCGCATCCCTGAGGTGTCGTTGTCCACATCCCAGCAGAGCTGGCTGCTGGAATTTGCCCCCATTCGTAGTTCCCACAGGTCAGCAGGAGTTGCAGCTGAACATTATTCCCACAGGGAACATTCCTCTCAGGAAGAGTGTGGTTGGGGTAGTGGCCCTCCTGAAAAGCTGGTCTCCTGCTGCCCCTGCTGTATCTGTGCATTCTGATGGCTCCTCTGGGCTCACCAGGGACACAGTTCTCTGCACCTCACCATTTTCGTGGAGTCTCACTTCCATGCCTGATCTCCCTCTTCCCAGCTTTGCCTCAGAGGTTGAAGTCTCCAAGGCTGTGTATTGTGTGTCAGGTGTGGGCTGTGTCTTTGCAAAAAGAGCTCCCATGCTTTGGAAAATGGGTGGCTTTGTGCAGCCTTTGAAGAGCTGTGCATGATAAGGGAATGAGCTGATTCTGCCACAGGCTTCCATCTTTGTGAGCAAATTCTTGGCTGCAGCGTGACAGGACTAACAAATGCCATTCCCATCACCTCCTGAGTGATGGTGGGTGGGGGATCCACTGCTGGGACAGGAGGTGATTGTTGTGCCTTGGGAAATAAGGGTGATGAAAGTTGGGAGCTTGTCTTGGACAGGGATGGGGGCGCACAGCAGCTTCCAGCTGTACTCCCAAGAAATCTTAGATAGCACAGGTGTATTTTCATCCATGTGTGCTCCCTTCCTTCCTAGGTGTGGAAGAAGCTCCTGAGCTCCCAAGCTCCCCGAGTCAATGTGTTCATGGCAGTGCCCACCATCTATGCCAAGCTGATGGAATATTACGACGAGCATTTCACCCAGCCCCAGGTGCAGGATTTCGTGCGTGCCTTTTGCCAGGAGAACATCAGGTGGGTGAGCTGTGGGCAGGGGCTGCTGCTGGCTCGCTGTTTCTCCAGGTTTTCCTTTCAACATCACCTCTTTCGGTGCTGGTTGTTGTGCTTTGGTGTCTCTGTGACAGGAACAAGGGTGACATTATTTAATTATGAGCCACTCTTGCATGGGAAAGCCAGAAGGGGCTTGTTATGTGTCACCCTGTGTAACACATGGCTGAGGGCTTTGTCCTGCAGCCCAGGCTTGTACTCTAGAATCTCTTTGAAGAGGCTGTCCTGGTTAACTTAAACCCCATATCAGGCTGAGAATTTGAGGGACATCTTTGGTGCTGGTTAAAAAGATTTTGGGGCTGAAGGTTTTACGCAGAGCTTTTTATGCCCCCGTGTCAGGCTGCAAATTCCCTGGAGCAAAGGTGCTCTTGGATACTCCCTTACCTGGACTTTTCCTGTGCAGGTTAATGGTGTCAGGCTCAGCAGCCCTGCCTGTGCCTGTCCTGGAGAAGTGGAAGAGCATCACGGGGCACACCTTGCTGGAGAGGTACGGGATGACTGAGATTGGGATGGCGCTTTCTAACCCTTTGCATGGAGCCCGTGTCCCAGGTAGGAGTCTGCAGGGGCTGCCCCCCTTTGGAGGCGTTTGCTGGGAGTGCTCTGGGGTGTTCTCTACACAAGAGTGAGGAGAGGCCACGCTAGGAACAAGGATGCTGGGAATTGGCACTGGGGATTCAGGGCATGGATGTGTGGGAAGTGGTGGCTGGGTTTCCCAGGGATCAAAGTTGTGTGTGCAGAGCTGGCAGTGGTGCCCACTGGCCTGACCAGGCTGGCACACTCCAGACTGATGCTCTATTACTTCCAGAATCTTAGTGAATTGAGGGAATGTTTCTTCAGCTCCTGCTGCCTGGAGTTGTATTTCTGGGTGGTGTCACACAGGATTCTCCACACAGCAGTGCTTGTCCAACCCATCAGTGCTGAACACTTAAAATAGGACGTCTGCTCACTCTTATTTTAGTGCCTGTTTCTTGCCTCTTCAGGAATTCAAAATTGTCACACCTCACTGTACACTCTGGGCCTGTTCTCTCCTTGTCTTTCTCCCCCTTCTCTGAGCTACACTTTGTGATTCCTCTCCAGAGCTGTACTTTCTGGAACCTAGAAATAAATTGATCTGAGACATTGCAAATGTAAAATGCCCCCACTCTCCCTGTGGTTGGAGCGTGGCCATCTGTGTGCCCACCCTGTGCCACCTGCCTCCCCACAGGCTGTCTGTGCAGGCATGGCACCATATGCAGCCTCCTGGGGAACTGGTGTTACCCCAGAGGGGGTCCTGGGTGTCACAGCTTCCCACAGCACCCCAATCCCATGGGATGCAGGAGCTGGGTCCTGTAGGGGTGGCACAGGGAGAGGAGAAGCCAAAACTCCCCCTCGTTGACTCCTCAGCCTGGGAACAGCTTGAAGCACAAACTCTGTTTTACTTTTGCAGGGTAACTGTCATTCCCTCACCCCAGCTCAGCCAGTTTTATCTTCTCCAGCAGCCCCATCCCTGCAGGCAGGAGAGGGAGGCAGGCAGGAGAAACAAGACTCCCATCTGCAGGAGCTCAAGCTGTGTGTGAGCCCCACACCCCAGGGTGATCATTGCACTGTCCCTGTGGTATATTTGCTTTTTATTGATTTTCATGAGGGAAAAGGAGTGGAGGCTCCAGAAATTTCCCAGGGGATTAAAAGAGAAAAGGAATAAGACTGAAAGTAGCATGGCAGTGTACAAGCTGGCACCCAGAAGGGCAGCTCCTGCCCCAGAGCTGGTGGCTGTGCTCCTGAAGCATCATCCCTGTGGATCCTGGGGTCTGCAGGACAAATCCTCTTGTGCAGCCAAAGCAGAGGGGCTGGGGACTGTCACTCCAGCCCCATCCAGGGGCTCCTGCAGCCCCGAGGGGAGAGAAGTGTCTCACGAAGGTGGGGATCAGCAAGAAACCCAACAGAAAGGAGGCTATAATTGAATAGGCTTGATTAATTTATTTCAGGAAGTGTCAGCTGGGAAGCAGATGGGTGAAGCTGAGGCATAATTTACTGGAGCTGTGAAAAAGCTTTTGATCTAGTGCCCTGTTAGAGGCTGGGTAGGAGGTCACCAGGTACCACAGAGATCCCAGAGGCAGCTGATGGTGGGCTGGAAACAGGGGACATCTGCCAGAGGATCTCTCCTGGAGTGGGAGCAGCACATGTCCTTCTCCCCTGCTTTGACCTGTTGGAGTGAGCCCAGAGGAGGGATGGAGCACCTCTGCTGAGAGAATTGGGATTGTTCTGCCTGGAGAAGAGAGGGCTTTGGGGTGACCTAATTGTAGCTTTCCAGTTCCTGAAAGGACCTACAAGGAAGATGGAGTGGGACTTTGGACAAGGGCCTGGAGTGACAAGACAAGGGGGAATGGCTTCACAATTAACTTTAGGTTTAGATTAGATATTAGTAAGAAATTCTTGGCTGTGAGGGTGGTGAGGCCCTTCTCTGGGTGCCCAGAGCAACTGTGGCTGCCCCTGGATCCCTGGCAGTGCCCAAGGCCAGGCTGGACAGGGCTTGGGGCACCCTGGGACAGTGGAAGGTGGCCCTGCCCATGGCAGGGGGTGGAATGAAATAAGCTTTAAGGTCCCTTCCAACCATTCTGTGATTCATGAGCCTCTGAGGAGAAATCCTGGGGCTTGCCTTGCCCTCTTGCAGGCACTTGGTGTGGCAGGGAAAGGTCGAATCCTTGGACCCTGCCCATCCCACCCTTGTCCCCAGCGCTGTCACCAGCAGCTGTGTCCCCACTCTCCACCTACAGCACAGGTCTGAAGGGGCAGGGATGGGGTGTGGGAGCTTTAATTTCCAGAAGCAGCAAAGATGAAAGATTTGAAAGATAAATGTTTGCTTGTATATGGTTAAAACCCTGCTTAAAATGCCTCTGTTTTCACCAGCTCTCATTCTAATCCCCCCTGGTGCTGTTACTGTGAAGGGAGATGAATAATTCATGGCCGGAGAATGCCTCACTGGGCCTAATCACCACTTTAATTGGAGGTTTAGATCAGAGGCAGCTAATAGCTGCTACAGCGGGGACTCCGTGTATTGTTGACAGTGAGATCCTTGAGTGCCTTATCGTTGGCCTGCTCCAATCCTCCCGGGACACAGCAGCACCGAGCTACCCAGATACCGAAGGACACAGAGCACGGGGCCAATTAAATTTATCTGGGAAGAGCTGACAACTTTTTTAAACAGAGGAGAAGGGGTGAAAGCAGAATGGTGTCACCCCCTCCTGCCTGCAGCCCGGTGACACCGCGGGCGAGGTGCCAGCATTGCTTAACATCCAGGAGGCTGCAAATTGGAGGGATGCAGAGGGGAAGCAGCAGAGATTTCTCCCCAGTTTCCCCTCAGGATTATGGCTGGGGGAAAAAGGAAGCCAGTGCAGAGTGTTGACCCCTTCTGATCAGCCCAAATGTGGCTTGATGAAGGCAGGAGCTCCAGGGCTGCTCCTTTGGGAACGGACCCAAATTTCTGCTGACCTGTTGGAGTTGGCACAAGGTGTGTTTTGACACGGTGGATGGGCCTGGGAAGCTTTAGTCATTTTTTTTTGCACAAATTCTATTAATCCTGTCAGGTTTGTGGAGCTCTAATCAATGGTAGGGGCTTTTTCAGCCTTGACAGATGTTGATTTCAAAGTTTGTCACTTTTCCTAAATACCAGAAAAGCTTCTCCAGACAGAAACATAAGGAAGCAGCTCTCCACCAGGGACTTGTTTTACATGCTGGTTTTATTTTAGCCAAGTAGGAGAGGAACTGGTGGGGCTGTGTTAGTAACTGTGATCTGAACACTGTGTGGGGAACATGTCACCTCCTCTGTGCCAGCCTTGGGCTGATCTTTGCTGTCTCATTCCCAAGGGCTGGGACCAGCAGTGGGCACTAATCCTGGAGTCCTGCTGCCCATGAATCACTGCCCATTTCCACATTGAGGTCAGCAGCTTGCATCCAGGGAAGGAGCATCTTCCAGGAAGGCATCTGGCTGATCTTGATTTGAAAAATTCCAAGTCTGTGAGAGCCCCTGGCAGTTCCTTGCATTGGTTTCTGCTCCCTCCATGAGCTTTCCAGGACTGACTTTGTGGTGCCTGCCCACACAGACGTGCCATGTTTTGTGGGCAGATTGGAGTCTGTTCACACACAGTTTTTCACCCTGGAGAAACTGTTCCCACAGAAGTCTAGAAGGTGGCTCCAGCGACCTTCCATGCAACACTGAGGGTGTTTTCTGTGACTTGTTACTTGCTTTGAGGCCTCTTGGAGCCTCCCATGGCAGGTGCAAGATTGTTTATAACACATATGGTGTGATTTTTAGGGTTGTCCTGTGCAGAGCCAGGAGCTGGACTTGATGATCCTTGTGGGATCCAACTTCTGTGATTCTCAGATTCCATAAATACCTCAGCACTGTACCTTAGGGCACTTCTGGCTCGTGCTGCCTCCTTGCCCTGCTGCAGCCCTGTGTCTCTGATTCCTGGCAGTGTCTGGCCTGGAGGTGGGAGCAGCCCAGGGTGCTGGTGGTGAGGGGAGGACGTGGCTGTGCTGGCTGACCAGAGTGCCAAAGGCAATTCTGAGCAGAGCAGACACGGATCACGGAGCTGCCACGTCGCTTTGTGTTTATTTCCAGCCAGATTTGCTGATTGTTCGGGTAGTTTTGCTGCAATAAAATCTCACTCCCTCATAGCCCATCTGCTCCTGGCTGATCCTGCAGGGATGCCATAAATCTGGGCTACGACGACATATCCATTTCCATGGCAACTGACCAATGTAGCAGACAAACTCATGATGTCACAGATAGCAGATCTCCAGGGCTTCACCAGGAGAGTGAGACCAGGACAGGGAAAGTGCCACTTGAACCCAATGCCTGAAATACGAGCGACAAGAGGAAGACAGGGCTGAGCTCCAGGTCCTGCACTCCCTGCTCTGGGGAATTCCCAGTGTCAGGGTGATCCTGGCAGACCTGGAAAGCATCAGCTGGGGGCACTTCAGGGGAGAAAATTTATCATCCTTTAAAGAGCACAGTTACCAATTTATAGAATCACAGAATGGTTTGGTTTGGAAGGGATCCTTCAGCTCATCTTGTTCCATCCTACTGCCATGGGCAGGGACACCTTCCACTGTCCCAGGCTGCTCCAAGCCCCATCCAGCCTGGCCTTGGACACTCACAGGGATCCAGGGGCAGCCACAGCTGCTCTGGGCACCCTGTGCCAGGGCCTCAGCACCTTCACAGATAAGGATTTCTCCCTGATACCCCATCTAACCCTGCCCTCTGGCAGTGTGAAACCATTCCCTGTGTCCTGCTACTCCAGGCCCTTGTGAAAAGTCCTTCTCCAACTGAAACTCAGTCCTGTCCAGTCCTGCTGAGCCACAGGTTGCTGTGAGCTGCTGTTCCTCTCCCTGCTCACAGGGGATGAAGGTCACAGGCCCCCTTCTGTCACAGGAATGAGAGGCTGAGTGGGACCTGCTGAGATCTGCTGCCCATCCCACAGGTCACAGGGACAGAGCTGCCCTCTGCTGAGCTCTCAGCTGCTCCCCAGGAACAACAGGCCCTGAGCCAGGGGGTGGGAAAGCTGCAGGTTGGGGAGCTCTGGGTCCCAGATGCGGCTTGGAGCTCAGTAGTGGTGGTTGTGACACTGTGTCAGCTCCTTGGCTTTGAAATTGAAACGTGTGGAAGAACGGGGTGGTTTTGATCCCTCCTTTTCTCCTGTGATGTTTTCTATCCAGTGTATTGATGTCTCCTAAAACTGAGATAATCCCTGGCAATTCTCAGCTGTTAAGCCTTTGCCTCCCCTGTCAGGTGCAGGCTGTAGAGGAGCAGAGTAATCGCTGTGCTCTCTCTTTTCACAGCTTTGTGTGGGTTTTGTGGTGCCTTTCTTTTTTTTCTTAAAAAAAAAAAAAAAAGAAACTGCCTCGTTCCTGAGCTCTGAAGAGGTGCAGATGTCTTCAAAGTGGCCAAGAAACTCTGTTCAGGGCTGGAGACACGTTTGTGTTCAAAGGCATTCCCAGCACTGCCTGCTCCTGCCATTTCCATGCAGACACACGGTGGGATCACGCATTCCTGAGGGGACACCCCACACCATGAAGTCCTTTAGTGCCAGCACGGCCTGCAGATGCCACTGCTAGACAAGCAGCTGCTGTTTGCATCCCTGACTGTGTGCTTTCCCGGGGCCGTGCCCCTTTCCATGCTGCTGTCCCCCAGGTTCCGTGGGCACCCCGCTGCCCGGCGTGGCAGTGCGCATCGCCAGCGAGACGCTGAGGGACGGCGCTCGGTGCTACACCATCCACGCCCAGGGCGATGAGAACTGCACTCAGGTACTGCCTCCTTCTCTCCACTGCTTCACTTCGAAAAGCTCTCCTTCCCAGCCTCTGAAAGGCCAAGGGTTGTGCTGCTCCTGTTCCCAGGATCCAGTGATGGAGTTTGTGGTTCTTTGTTGGTGGGTTCCTGTAGCCGTGATGCTTTATGGACTGGACAAGTGCTGTCCATACAATCGTGGAATGGTTTGGGTTGGAAGGGACCTCAAAGCCCATCAGTCCCACCCCGTGCCATGGCAGGGACACCTCCCAATAGGCCAGGGTGCTCCAAGTCCCAGTGTCCAGCCTGGCCTTGGGCACTGCCAGGGATCCAGGGGCAGCCACAGCTGCTCTGGGCACCTGTGCCAGGCCTGCCCATCCTCACAGGCAAGAATTCCTTCCCAATATCCCATCTAAACCTATTCTGTTTCACTCTGAAGACCAGGTCTAGTGGAAGGTCCCTGCCCATGGAACGAGATGAGCTTTAAGGTCCCTCCCAACCCAAACCATTCCACGATTCTGTGCCTGGAAGGGCAGGACTGGGTGATCTTGGGGGTTGCACTCATTTTGAAACAGCACTGGGGGAACCCATCAGGTTTGACTTCCACTTTGATGGAAGTCAAGCTCCATGCTCAGCTCCACATGCTACCTGCATGTGCAGTTCTGGTGTGCCAGAGGTCAGGCATCTGTGATGAGGAACCATAATCTACCCCAGTGCTGGCTGCTGAACCATAATCTACCCTGCTGCTGCTGCAGCCCCAGCCCAAGGTCCAGGCTGTCTCTTGCCACAGAAGTGGCTGAGCAGGGTCTGCATTCCTGCCCCCTCCCCTCCACACCCTCACTGTGTGTTGTTGCTGCTCTGGCAGATCCATCCCTGGTGATGTCTGGGTTTGGCTGAGCAGAAAAATGCTGAGTGTGACAGGAGTGACCCCAGCAGTGACACCACGTGGGTGGGACACAGGCAGGCGTGAGATTCAACCTGAAATAGGTTCCTTCCCTCATTCCCCTGGGAAATGGCTTCTCATCCAGCCACCTACAGGCTGAGGGTTTGAAAGGGCTGTGGCAGAGACACTGCTGGTGTAAGCGCTGCTGAGAGGCTCAAGAAAATCTTTTTTTGTCTAAATTATCTGGTGGCAGGTGGAGGAGCCAGCAGGACCACAGGCAGCCCCGTGGGTGGGCTGTGCTCAGGTTGTGTTTTGTGTTCCGATGCTGTAAGAGCTGGATCCGCTCCAGACTTGTAAAACAGCCCAGGGGACAGCTGAGAGGGACCACGGATTGTGGCTTTTATTAAAAAAAAACCTCTTTGCTGCTCTTTACTCTGTGTCACTGCTGTGGCGTGGCCGAGCAGTGGGCAAAGCAGGAGGCTCCCCATGTCCTGTTCTTGTCACTTCCTGGGTGTGTGTTGTATTTCACAGGTTTGTCCTCTGATCCCAGAGTTTGCTCTTGGCCTTTTTTTTTCCACTTGTGTGGAACAGAGACATGAAATATAACGTGTCCCTTTTAATAATGATCCTATAATGCTTTTTACCCCTCAGGGATCCCTGGGCGCTTTACAAATTAGGTCTCAGACACGAGAATCCCCAAAGTGCAGCTCCTTCCAGGATGAAATGTGGATGTTGTTCTACTGAATTATGAGAGGAAAAAATATGGAATGTTATTTTTTCTGCACAGTACTCTTTCCCCTTCTCATTGCACTGAGTGACCAGAGAGGGGGAGCCTAGATGATCTGTGTCTGATGCTAGAAGCCCACCACCTCCTCAGGGCTTCACAGAGCTGGGATTCACATAACTCTCCTCTTTCCTCTGGCTTCAGGCTGCTTGGGTTTATTTTGGGGGCAGAGGAATTGCCCTTTTTCCTGGTGATTTCTCACCTGCACCCTGCAGCCCCCAGTGCGGTCCATACCCAGAGCTCACAATTCTTCCAGGAGCTCCCACCAGCGCTGGCCTTGGCTCCCTGCCCCTTGCTGATGGTTCACTTTCCGTCAGGCTCTCCCTGGGGACCTTTTGAATGTTCTGGTGAATTCTCAAGTCATCAGCCTGGGAGGGTGTGGGGAGGTGGTAATTTGCCTCTGGGCATTGGCTCATGGGTTGGTCCCTCTCTGAAGAGCTGTCCCCATCTCACCCACCGTTCCTCTTGTCCCAGCTTAACTGGGAGTTTCTTCAGGCTGAAGGGAGAGCAGTGGTCCCATCTGTTCAGGCCACCCCAGGAGACAGTGGCTGGCTGGGTACCTCCAGGACATCCACAACATTTCCAGGAGCAGAGCAGAGCCAGCTGCCTCTGTCCCTGGGACTGTCACAAGGTGGGAAAAACAGTCCCTGCTCCCAGCGTGTGTTGGCACAGATGGATGCGTGGAGATGCCAGGAGTTTGGGGTTTATGTGCCCTGGGCACGGAGTGTGACTTTCCCTAGCGTGACCAGGTGGCAGCCATGGTGACAACACCTCTGCTGCCAGGGATGCTGGAATTCCTGTGCCTCACACCTGCGGTCCCAGGCAGAGCCTCACCTGCTCAGTGCCTGCCCCAGCCGTTGCTGCTGGCACTGTGTGCATCATGCTTGGTTAATAATTCATGTCAGGAGAGACAACGTCAGTGGAATTTATTTAAAACGAGGCGGATCTGACAGTCCGAGTGCTCATCACGCTCCAGCAGTCCGGGAAAGGCCCAGCTTTGTTAAAATCAGCTCCTCCACGGCTGAGGGGCTGGCCCAGGGATGGGAAGAACCCGCTGGTGTCACCCTGCCTGTGCCACCAGATAACCCCGTGGCCTTTCCTTTGCCTCCTGTGAGAAGGATGAACAAATCCTTCCTCGCCTCCCTCCCAGGAGGGCTCTGAGCCTTATAGTGGTTGAGGGCTGGAGGAGACTGAGGGGAGACCTCAGGGGTCTTCAGTGTCCTCGTGAGGGGCAGCAGAGGGGCAGGTACCAATCTCTTCCCTCTGGTGACCAGGGACGGGACCCAGGGAAGGGCTGGAGCTGTGCCAGGGCAGGTTTAGGTGGATATCAGGAAAGGTTCTTCCCCCATCGGGTGCTGGCACTGCCCAGGTTCCCCAGGGAATGGCACAGCCCCAGAGCTCCAGGAGAGGTTGGACAGTGCTCTCAGGAATGCTCAGGATGGGATTGCTGGGGTCTCTGTGCAGGGCCAGGGGTTGGATCCATGATCCTTGTGGGTCCCTTCCAGCTCAGGATATTCCGTGATTCCATGATTCAAGCCCCGTGGGGCTGAGGCAGGGGGACGCTGAGCAGCCTGGCAGGAGTTGGGCTCTGAGCCATCTCTCCTCCCCGGGCTCCTGCGAGCAGGTGATGTCTGTGCCGGGGCTGGGGCACCGTCAGGGCAATCTGCGGGGCGTTCACAGCTCGGCTGTGCCCGCAGAGCCCTCCCGAGGGCGGGCAGAGAGCGCTGCCCTTGCCAAGGGAGCCGTGCGGAGCCTCGCAGGGCCAGCGCCTTCCCCGCCCGCCTGGGGCTGCGTTCCTGCCTCCTGCCCCCAGCTCAGCCGGCGCTCTCCGAGCTGTTCCTTCCCCACTAACACCGTCTCTCGCCCTTTGGACATGTGCGATCCAAACAGGAGAGACGGCAGAGGAGGAGGAGGAGGAGGAGGCAGCCTGTGGATGGCAGGAGCAGGGAGCTGGGGAGTGTTTCTGCTCTGCCATCCGGTAACTGCCTGAGCTTGCAGCAGGGGACCACTGTAATTTGCAAAGCTGGTTCCTGGCACACCCTGAAGATCAATAATCTACTTAGCTGAAAGTTTGCTGGATCTCTGTTCTGCCCTGCATTTTCTCCCACCCTTGATTGGAGCGCTGGTTTCCTTTCCTTCAGTCCTTCAGTCTCCTCTCAGGAGCCCTGTGCTCCGTTCATCCCGTTTGCTCAGGATTTCAGTCCGTCCTGTGCTGCTTCCTCTGGGTGTTGTGCACCCTGTGCTGCTCTCCGGGGCTGACACAGAGCCGTGTGGGCTGGGCCAGACTGCCCGGGCTGCCCCAGGGCTACTGACACCCCCACGGGGCTCTGCAGCCTGACCCATCCCCTGGCTGCTCCAGCCTGACCCATCCCCTCACTGCTCCATCCTGACCCATCCTCTCACTGCTCCAGCCTGACCCAGCCCCTCACTGCTCCATCCTGACCCATCCCCTGGCTGCTCCATCCTGACCCATCCCCTCACTGCTCCATCCTGGCCCATCCTCTCACTGCTCCATCCTGACCCATCCTCTCACTGCTCCAGCCTGACCCATCCCCTCACTGCTCCATCCTGACCCATCCCCTGGCTGCTCCATCCTGACCCATCCCCTCACTGCTCCATCCTGCCCCATCCTCTCACTGCTCCAGCCTGACCCAGCCCCTCACTGCTCCATCCTGACCCATCCCCTCACTGCTCCATCCTGACCCATCCTCTCACTGCTCCATCCTGACCCATCCCCTCTCTGCTCCATCCTGACCCATCCCCTGGCTGCTCCATCCTGGCCCATCCTCTCACTGCTCCATCCTGACCCATCCCCTCTCTGCTCCATCCTGACCCATCCCTTGGCTGCTCTGGCTGCTCCAGCTGGAGGTGTGCAGCAGCCTGGGGACACCTGTGACAAGCCAGCGAGGGCAGGAGGTGACAGTGCCATCAGTCACAGCCCCGACTGTCCCCCCACCTCCTGCCTGTGCAGAGCTATCCCCTGGAGAGATGCTGCTCTGGGAGCCTGGGAGAAGGGCTTCTCCTCCAGCATCACTGGGAGCAGAGGTGTGGAAGTGGGTGTGAGGGACAGCACGGCTTTGCCTGCCCTGATTCATCCCACATCCTGCTCCTGGAGCTAGTGGCATCCAGAGCAGCTCCTCAGCTTCCCACCTTCCTTGGGCAGCTGCCTGCTGAGCCCATCTGACCCTTCAGGCTCAGTATTCCTTACCCACAGCCAGGGGTGCTTCTTCCCATGGGGTGTTTTCCCCTGAATTTTTGGCAGCTCTCCCTGTGGCTGTGGTGCCCAGGAAAGGGTTACAGCTCTCCAGCTCTGAACATTTCAGTTTGCTTTGTTCAGTGCAATGCATATTTCA